TGAATCAAATTAGTGCATTCAATTCCACTAAGTTGGTGTTTTGAAGTGTGATTTCCAAGTTCTCGAAATGGAATTGGAATTCTGTAAATATCGTAAATTTGAATTTTGTGTATCAGCTATGGATTGATATTTGCTTTAACTGCTGCTCATCATGAATTGTGAACTGATAATTCTTAAATTCCATTCCAAAGTTGTGAAAATGGAGTTCCAGAAGTTCTGAAATGAAAATGTAAACATCTTACTCATGGAAAGATGACAACTGTGAAAATTTAGATATTACATAGTAGTTGAAACAAAGATATAACGCCACTTCACACACAAATAACAATTTTGTCTCTGCAATGTTGATAGGTTTGCACTCTTCTCTAGTAGTAGTTCACACTTTTACATCTTTGGATTTGTATCTCTGTGGTATGGATGATGTGAAATTGTTTTACTATTACATTGATCACAAACTAGGTAGTTCTACCGAATCAACTTTGTGGTTTCATTTTGAAACTCTGCAGTAAATATCCACTACCATTTTCTTATACCAACACTTTTTCCTGTTAATTCCTTGCTTCCTAGACATGTTACAAATACTTGCTACATAATCAAACATCTGGATTTTTTGTAAACACAATACCCATCCTTGTGCATTTGTTATTTTGATAGCATTATAGCAAGTCTTTCTTTAATTACTTCTACCTGAACCTAATATAAATATAGCTGAATGAACCAAAAGAAAAGATATAACCCCTAACAATGCACATAAATGAGACCCAGAAATGGGTTATTAACACAAAAGAGCATACTTGGCAGATTGAAGAAGCTCATCCTTGGTTTACTGCAAGGGGATCATGATTTATAAATTCTACTTTCAGTTTTTTTTTTCCATTTGTAAGCATGAACATGTGGCCTAATTTTGTTCTTGTTAATTAAAATTTCGTAGGTGAAATTATTGGCACATGTTGATCTCAAATGTGTTAGTTGGCACCAAAAAAAGGATATTCTGGCATTTATTTCTGCACGGAATCAAGTAACTATTCGTGATTATGGAGACTCAGGTGAGAAACTTATAGAAATGAGCATGCAAAACAGTTGTTTTGGTATACTCTCCAGATTTTTTCAGTATCTTGAGATCTGATTACTTGGTTGTTCTCCTTTTCTTCTATTAGGAGAAGGGAAGGACCCCTGCATTCTGATGAATGATCTTCAAAGGGAAGCTAAACTCTTGGAATGGAGGCCAAATGCTGGGAAGACACTTTCAGTAGGCTGCAAGTTAGTATATTTGACATCCATACCCTTGCACTCTTGGCATTTACTATGTATGTGGAAGCTCTTGAGTTTTTATTAATGTACAATTACAAACAGGGGTGGAATTTGCATTTGGTCTGCTTCGTATCCTGGAAATACCGCATGTGTTAGACCTGGGGTTAATTCTGGAAGCCGCTCTAGAGGTTCTGGAGTTAGATGGACTCTAGTAGATTTTCTTCGAGGCCATGGCGATGAACAAATAAGTGCACTCTCATGGAGTCCTGATGGAAGATATCCTAATTAGCCTTTGATTTGCTTGCATGCTGGTTTTCTTATTCGATGCTACTTTGATCCATTTTGAAATTTTGATTTTTAGAGTCTTTTTGCATGACCAAATTTAATATCCAGTTATAATATAATGCTTCCCTTAACGTACGATCTTCACATATGTAGCATCTGCTTCATATGAGAGCTCATCTTTCACAATATGGGATTTTGCTCAAGGTATATTCTTATGCATGTTGAGTTTTTCAATATACCCCAGAAAAGTTAATTATGACTATGCTCTTGTTGGTTTTTTTAAAAGGAAGTTAAAAGGCGTAGTTCTCTTTTCATATGTAAATAATCTAATGGATTAAAATTCCCCTGTTACTATTCTTGATTGAATGTTCTAGTTCCCACACTCTTGCCTTTTGATGAGGTTTAGAACTTACAAAGGCACTATGTTAAAAAGATGATCTTTCTCCACATACTGAGCTTGATATAAACAAATTCTTGTTGTGGGTATTTGTACAGGGGTGGGCACACCCATTCGGCGAGGATTAGGGAGAATATCACTGCTAAAGTGGTCTCCTACTAGAGATTACTTCTTTGCTGCAAAATTGTAATGTCATTTATCATTGGACTCGGATCTATTCAGTTGATATATTCGTTCAAGACACATATTAAAAAAACTTTGGCACTAAAGCAATTATCATGTTATTATGTAGTGATGGAACATTCTATCTGTGGGAGACAAACACATGGACATCAGAACTGTGGTCTTCAACAAGTGGCTTTGTCACGGTTACTATTTATTTCCCTTAGTTTTTGTTGCATATACATTATACAATATTGCTCTGGTGCATGTAGATATGTCATGTCATGTAAAATTGTTGTAGTAAGTATGTTTTTCTTGACTTTTAAATATTCTAAAGCATGTTTTTCCACTGTAGCCTGCAGCTAAGTGATTTATCTCCTTGATCTCTGATTTATTTTAGATGTTTTGCTATATATGTAGGGAGCAGCATGGGATCCTAATGGGCGTATGATTCTTATTGCTTTCTCTGAATCTTTAACATTAGGTTCTGTTCACTTTGCCACAAAGCCTCCATCACTTGGTATGTGTTGTTATCTTCTCTTTACTCTTTACTCTTTAGTCTTTACTTACACTGATTTTACTGAAAGTGGCATTTCTATCTGTGCTTGTGTTTGATCTGAAGTTGCTAGAGTTTCTGTCGGATGCCAAATACCTTTTGATATTAATGTTAGATTTATGTTTTCTTCTTTGGAGTTGGGCTTTATATATCACCATCCTTTATTGTTATCAAAATTCCATATTTGCCATTTCTCATATGATGATTTTCATTTTCCTCAGATGCACACCTGCTACCTGTTGACTTGCCAGAGCTGAAATCTTTGACCAACAGGTAATTACAAAAGTTGCCTTTTTCTTTTTTTTTTTTTTGTTTCTTTCCTTGATCAATAAACTTTTAATGCTGATAGCTTCATCTAATTTACTGTCAATGTAAAAGTAAAACATATGCAACTTACACCTTCTTAAGTTATGGCAAAATTTGTAGAAGGTTGCATATGTTTTAGGATAATATCATTTGTATAGATTGATTTATTCTATGTTAGGTTATGGTTGTTGAAAGCCCTTGGTATAGCTGTATAGGTATAGGTATAGGAATAGAAGCATGATTATCTGTCCTGTTTATATTTGGTGTTATTTATGTTTTTCTTTGTACATAATATACATTTTTGATGACTAATAAAATTTAGCAGAGGCAAAGTAAAGAATAAATCCTTATCTTTTGTAAGTTGTAACATAAGATATGGTTGATATGACAGTGGAGGTATTGAGAAGATAGCATGGGATGCTACAGGGGAGCGTTTGGCTGTGTCATATAAAGATGGAAACGAGGTGTACAAGGGTCTCATCGCCATATATGATGTTAAAAGGGCTACAATCATAACCCCCTCATTAATGTATGTCACTAATTTTCATTCTTTTTATAATGCATAATAATAATTAATAAAAGACTTATCATATCCTGTCAATATAACATATACTGTAGTAGTATATTTCTACATAACAACAAACTGTACCTAAAAAGGTGGGACAGGGTTTTTGTCTGTGCAAAAGCCTCATCCTCATCATTGAAAGTTGAAAGTAGTGCTTGTTTTCATTTTTTTTTTTTTTTTGAATTGATTGATGCAGTGGGTTCATCAGAGGGCCTGGAGAGGACCCGAAGCCTCTAACATTTTCATTCCATGACAAGTACAAACAGGGGCCCCTGTTATCAGTTGTAAGTATTGTATTTCTAGCACCCATTTTATCAATTTAGCCACTCATACTCAACTATTATTAAAATAATCATAAATAAATAATTAATAAATAATGTTTGTAATTATGCAATGCAGGTATGGAGCACTGGAAGTTGTGTCACCTACCCCCTCCTGATTCGTTCCCATCTCCTTGCTTAGCTTAAGCCCAGCCCCAGCCCACCTATTTTCAATTTTCTTCACTTGTACACTTTCTCTCCAGTTTTGCAGCAATCATGGCCATGGGCATTTGATTTGTAGAATATTATCACAAGGAATGGAATCTGTGTCAAAGGATTTTATTTTATATATATATATATATATATATATATGATGGGGTATTTTGATATTTTAACAAATAATGGAATTGAATTGAATTGAATTATTTCCAAACATGGAAAGAATGGTGAAAAACTCAAGGATCAATTAAAGTTTCCCTTTATTTGGCATCAAATGAATATTGAATTCCCGATCAATATGTTTGATAGCGACCTAGTGGTTTATCCTTTATCCTAATCAGATGAGAAAAAGTTATAAAACGTGAAGTAAAAGATTGATTGATTGTTTAATCTTCCAAGTCAATTTAATTCGTGTACACAATTTCACTTTTTAGAAACTTTAATCTTTCCTTTTTATGGATTGAACTGAAGGAAAAGATTGCTTCCACGCTTGGACATAACCCGATACAGATTCATCATTTTTTTTTTAGTTCAGCCCATAATTTTACTGATTAAAACTGGTAATTTTTAAAGGCATTGGTTAGACGAATTCATCAAGTGATATTTAAAAATATTAATTAGAAAATATTATACATATTTCTTTATAAAATATAAACTTTTGTATATATCTTCTCACTGGGCAATATTAAAATATTAAAAGTATGTAACCATACATCTAATACCTAATTAATTAACAAACGAAACATTATATAGATAACAAATATCAAAATAAACGAGATCAAAAGTTTAACAAATACAAAAACTGTATATAAATAAATTCCATGATAACATTAGCAATTTTTCATACAAAATAACTAACATTGATTCACACAAACAGAACATAAGGATTGTTTTGCTTTGTCATCTGTAACAAATTAAAAAAGGGTTCAAAGAGTTGTTTGAATTTGACATTGAAAGTGATTAATCTTATTATTTTTATAATTTAGAAAATATAAGGTCATGTCCCAGATTTTAACGGTATGCAGGTTATGGACTAAAAACATTTGAAAAATAAAAGAAACGAATTATACAGGATTTTCATTCGAACCATATCCAAAATAATAATTTACTCCAGTAATTAAATGCAAAATTTGGTGAATGAAGATATGACCTATGGCAGCAAATGGGGGTGGGTTGGTGGGGTCCATTAACTAATTAATTTTTGTGGAGATGGATAAGCTTTGCTTACGTTAAAGCAAAGACAGAATATAGCATCTCTGAAGCCTCTAAAATTCAAACCAAACAATCAAATCATTAATCCGTTCACAAAACGCCTTTCTTCCGTTTCCTCAAAACACACATGACACATTTCATTTAAAGGATCTTCATCTGCATCTTCTTCATTTAAAGGCCATCTCTGTAACTCTGTAAGAATCTTCTTTTCTTCTCTTTAATTTCATCTCTAAATAATTAATGATATGCTCTTTTCTGTCAACGATCGATGTAATTAAACATACATACATACAGATAAAATATTGCTTTTTCTGATGAGTATACAGTATCAGTAGCCAAGTGCAAATTTGGATCCTCAATTGCTTGTTTTGAGAATATTTTCATGTCGTTGCTCTTTCTGTTTGTTTATTGAGAGTTGACTTTTAGTTCTGATTGAAGGACTTCCTTTAACTCTTCAAAACGAACTAACAATTGTTATTCACCTTCTTCAATTCTGTAATCGATGAATGATTTGTTTGCCCAATATCTACTTCCTTCAACCCCAAAGTTACGCACCTCCATTGAAATTTTTAATTCTAAAAAATAGCTACAAGGCTTCCACTCGATAGTCAAAATGTGATTATATTGTCACCAAATATGGCCTCATTCCTTATGTTATCTTGTTATGAAAATATTAAACACTACATGTAAGATGGGTTAATTAAAAAAAATTAAATTAAAGCTCTAAATATTTAAGAACTTTGGATTTATAAAAAAAAAATAAGAAAAGTAATGAATTATTAAAATTGATTTTTTTTATCTTTTAAATTTAAATAAATAAACAAAATAAACTAATGAACTTTAATTTGAGAATTTTGAAATAAGAAGGTAAGTCCATTAATGAAATTGATATTCATTTATTATTACATTTATTGTAATTATTATATTAAAGTATTATGTGGAATTTATTAAAATAGAAAAACTCATAAAATTACATGTGGAAAAAAATTAATTCAAAATAACCACAAAATGACATTTGACAAATTGAATGAGAGTAGATAGTAGCAAAAAAAACTTTCATTTATTAGAGTAGATATGGTTTGTTGATTTAATGGTATTAATATGTGATTGGAACCGTAAATAAAGATGGATACAAAAACCACTATTGGTTGGTATATCTTGCATTGGTGTGACATGGTCTTACAAATCTATATATGTTGGAGCCCTCTCTCTAAATGCTTTTTTAAAGAACAAAACCAAGGACTATATATATATATATATATATATATATATATATATATATATATATATATATATATATATATATATATATATATATTATGGTATTAAAGTCGACGTTTAACACCCTCATGAACCGACACATCTCTCTCTATCATCATCGAGTCTCCATCTCTATAGGAGTGTTAGTGTATCATGGCAATATGATCCGATAAGTATCTATATATGTTGGATTCATCCGTCTCTTCATACAAACTCTTTTGGTGAAACAATCTTGAGTTGTGTTTGGTGTGCCACAGCTAGCTGATAAGTTAGTTTATTTTTATGTTTTTTTAAGACGTCTTGTTTGACAAGCTAAAAAGTAGCTTATAAGCTAGCTTTTTAAAAAACTATTTATACTAGCTTTTTAGGAGTTTTTTAATTTTTTTTCCCTTAATTGATTATAGAAATACATTCTTTTAAATGTATTTTTATGTCATTTTATATTTTTAGCTAGTTTACCAAACGTCATTTTTAGCAGCTAGTTTTCAGCTATCAACTAGTTTTTCAACTATTAGCTAGGACGTCAAACATAGTCTTAGACTCTTAAATATCTCTTACACTTCAATCATTAACATTATCTTTTACACCAAATTGAAAAAACTTTTTCCATTAAATCCTATCAAACTCATTGCATTATATCTAACACCAAAAAGAATATAATTTTTTTAGAAGCAATACTGGACTATACATCTATCTTACACTTCAATCATTAACATTGTCTTATACACCAAATTGATAAAATTGGCAACATTAAATCGTCTTAAACAGATTACACAATATTTAACACTCCAAAAAATTATTATATGGGTATGTTTACCAAACTAGCTGAAAGTTGAAAACTATAATTTTTATTTGTATGAAATTGTTCGACAAAGTAGCTTTAAATGACATAAAAATAAAAACTATTAACTCATAAAGTTCTTAAAAGCTATGAGTTTTTTTGTATTAAAATAAAAGTTTTAAATCCATACTTCTTAACAATATTTATCTTTAATTCTAATTGTTTTTCTTAGAAGCTTATTGCCGAAAATATACACTACGTGTATTCCTCTTTATCTAACTTTTATAGTTTTTTAAAACAAAACAACCCTTATATTCATTAACTTTTTACACATCCTTCCTAATAAATGAAAATAATTTTGTCATTCATTATCCTCTTATTCATTATGTCACATGTTATTTTGTGATAAATTTAGATTAAATTATATTCATGTGTTATTTTATGGTTTTTTTCATTTTATTAAATTCATATAATACTTAAATGTTATAAATGTATATTCAAATCATTAATGTAACTTTCTTTAATGTCTAAAATGAATCTAATTATTTTAGTTGTTATTTATTTAAATTATTAATTTAAATTTTAAAGATAAATAAGCATTTTAATTTTAATAACTAAATCTTTTAATTTTTTTCTTATAAATTTAAATTTTTTAAATTGTTAGATCTTCATGTTTGTTTATTTTTTTAATAAACTCATGTAATACATGGGTCTTACAACTAGTATTTTATTACAACAAACCATGAGTTTAGAAACATCTTGCACATCATCAGACAAGTGTGCATCAAATTTAGCAATACAAATTATTAATGTATCTTGAGAATCAACATTATAATTGTTTTTTAAAAGGATTCTTCCAACCATTTCTAAATATTTTCAGTTGTTTTTTCTTTATAACTAAAAATTGTTCCATCTCCGCTTCGCGAGAGATGAAGGCTGGTAGTCTATTTATGTCCGCTTTGTGGGGATGTAATATATAAATTTTATATTATTTTTTAAACACGTAGACCATTTTTTGTAAAAAAAATTATGCACAAGGACCTTTTATGTAAATTATAGGGACAGTTTTATAATTTATTTCTACACAATGACCAAATTTGTCAACATACAAAAGTATTGTGGCCAAAGTCTCAAACTCAAAGAATATATTATTTAAACACATGAATCATTTCTATAAAAAAAATGCACAAAAAGCTTTCCTGTTAATCACAGAGACAATTTTGTAATTTATTTTCTACACAGAGATCAAACATGTCAACAACGAAAGTATTGTGGCCAAAGTCTAAACTCAAACGTAAAAAAATGGACAAGGATTTGTTCTGTAAATACGGGGATAACTTTTGTAATTTGTTTTCTATATATGGACCAAACTTGCCAACATATGAAATTATTGTGTCAAAAGTCTAAACGCCAAAACTTTTGTGGTAAAACTCAAAAAGGAAAAACTATACTATTTGTATATAGGTTACTTTTTATAATTACAAGGAATGCTTTTATAATTTATTTTCTACACAATTGTTAAACCTGTCAACATATGTCAACATACTGAAGTAATGTGGTCAAATCTAAAACCTTAATGTATAAAAATAGACAAAAAATAGTTTTATAATTTATTTTTCACATAGGGACCGAACCTGTCAATATTCAAAATTATTATGGTAAACTTCTAAAAATCAAAACTTTTTTGGAAAATACAAAAAAAAGAATATATTATTCATAGATTGCTTTTTATTATACACATTAATTTATAATTGTATTGTAAATGTTATAGACAAATCCATTAAATTATTTAATAACATCCATAATAAAAAAGCTTTTTAGTTGTTTTTTTTATTAAAAAACTCAAAAAAGAAAGTTTATTGTATCTTTCATAATAAAACAAAATTTTCATTTTGTTTTTTATAAATCATTTGTAGATATTGTCTAGTTAAGTGGTTAAAAAACTAGATGTCCCACATAATAATAATAATAATAATAACTCTTATTTAGATAACAAGTTCGTTCAAAAAACTTTGAATTGAAAACAATATAAGTTTTTTATTTCCAAAAGCTATAGAAAAACGTGTATAAGAGCATTTTAAGGGACACATTTTTATAGTTTATTAATATTAGCTTTTATATTGAGCATATATTTATTTTGTCTTTATTTTTATTGATCATTAAATACATATTAGATATATATTGATTTTAATTATATTTTAGTTTGAGTAGTCAATTTTTTATAAATTTAACCTCTTATCTTATAATCATATCTTATTATATCTTTTTAATTATATTTTAGTTTTTTATATTTTTTGTATTTATTTACTCATTAATTATTTCTATTAAATTTTTAATAATTTTCATTTGTGAAATATAAATTTATAATGATTATATAATAGTTTTAAGTTTTATTTTAAATTATGACGTATTAATTTTTCAAACAATATATTATAATATATTTAATTATTTAAAATATGACGTGTAGTTAAAAAAAAACAACTAATTAAACAAACTTTAAAAAAAAATAAGGTTTTACAAAACAATATTTTAGATAAGTAAAGATAAATTAGTTAAAAAAAAAAAACCGCAATCAAAATTTCAAAATCAACGATCAGCTCTCAACCAAAATCGACCATGCAGCAACCCTGCGACGAAGACACTGCTGAAAACCCTGTTAACCTTGCGATAAAACCAAAATAGACCCTGAAGAGAACCTGTTGACCCCGCCCCCTTCAAAATCCTGCGATAAAGACAATCTGTTAGACTCCCACATTGACCCTTCGGAAAACCATCAACTGAAATTGATGTAGAAAACAGATAAGGAACGACGGTGGATTTCATCGCCGGGGGAAGGGTAGGTGGGTTGTGTGGTTCTGGTTCTCTCTCTTAGAAACCAAACCAGAAAGAGGTGGGGTTGAGAGGGAGTTTGGGTGGATGAATGGTGAGTTGCAGAGAGGAGAGAAGTCATTGATGGAGAGAGGGGAAAGTGGAGGAATTCATTGTAGCGGAAGAGGGAAAAGGAGAAGGTCGCCGGTGGAGGGAAGAGGAAATGCTCAGGTAGGCGGTGGCTGCCGGACCGATGTAAAACAAAACCCAAGCCCAGTCCTTGTCCTTCAGCACACAGTCGACCGGTTAAATAGGTAAAAAGCGGGAAAAATGACTAAACTGAAACGAAATTAGATAAATTAAGGGTTAGAATTGTAGAATCAGAAGAAGTTTAGTGCGGATAGTAAAACTATGAGTCTATGACATATTTTGTTGTCATTCCTTGATATTAACCCTTTGCTATGCCTATTGCTTTTAGATCCTCACGTAATTGTTGTTAGTAAATAACTTATTTATAGGGATTATGTTAAGCAATTTATACAAAAAATGGTGAAGTGTTTTATACAACTGTTTTGTTAATGGAATGATACAGAAAGCAAGTTAATTTATTTAAGAGTGGTTTTTTGGAGAAGAAATGGGTTCAAGTTCAAGAAATGAGGCTGAAACTGTAAATCTAATAATAGTTGGGCTTCTTCTTATCGGGCTTTCTACTTTGATTTACTGCTCATCAACTTTGGGGGATACAAATACAAAAGGAGATAAAAACAAGTACAAACGCATTACTTCTTGTAAATGCTTCACAAGATGAAGGATCCACAAGGAAAATACCACAAAGTCTTTTTGGTGTTTCCTTTGAGGTACAAGTAACAAGTTTGCTTGCATTTTGTTAATTACATATACAATACATAATAGTTATATTTTCATCATGTGTTTGAATTTGAAAGTATGAGTAATTAAATTACTAATGATTTTGTATTTTTGTAGGAGATCAACCATGCTGGTGTGGGTGGGCTGTGGGGAGAGTTAGTAAGCAACAGAGGTAACTTGTCAAAAAAATACCTTAATAATAATATTTAGTAAACAATAACAAACAACCATTAAAATATAGTTTTCAACTTATGTGTTGTTAGGTTTTGAATCGGGTGGAAGACATTCTCCTTCAATTATTGACCCATGGTCAACCATTGGGAATTATTCATTGGTGAAAGTATCAACAGACCTTTCTTCATGTTTCAACAGAAATCCTGTTGCATTGAGGATGGAGGTGGTTTGTGACACCAGTTCTTGTCCAGCTGGAGGGGTTGGTGTATATAATCCTGGATACTGGGGGATGGTAAGAATTACAACCAATGCAAGAAAGAGCAACATACTTTCATTCTTTTGTTTATTATAGCATTGAATTACAACATTTTCAATAGCATTGGTATTATTATTTTTTTTTTTTTATCATTATTTGCAGAATATTGAAAAAGGGAAGACGTACAAGTTTGTTGTATATATTCGTTCATTAAATCCAATAAATGTAACCGTGTCATTGACTGACTCAACTGGAGTGCAAACACTGGCTACTGTAAATATCATGTGAGTATTTATTGAATTATAACGGAGCAATTTTGTAGAAATTATGAAAAAGGGGTATTAAAGATTTTTTTTTATTATTGTTCTTTAAGAGCCAATGATGTTTCAAATTGGAAAAAGATGGAAGTTGCGTTAGAAGCAAAAGTGACAAATCATAATTCAAGACTACAGTTGACAACCAACAGAAAAGGAGTCATATGGTTTGATCAAGTTTCTCTTATGCCCATGGATACATACAAGGTATGTTTTGTACTCGATATGTAATTCAGTTTAAATGAAAGAATACATGCCGCTTGCCTTTTTTCTAGATTTGTATTTTTACTATTATATTTTGTCAATAGTTATTCCCTATATCTAATTATGATTCTTCATAATGTCAACCTCATATGTAAATGTAGTTACATTTTCTACAAGAAGCATATAGAAAGGATTCATCATATAAATTATACATTTTGTAAATGTGCTACAGACAACTAAAATAAATTTTTTTTTTTGGAGCAGGGGCATGGTTACAGAAATGATCTTTTTAAGATGGTTGCAGATTTGAAGCCAGGGTTTATCAGGTTTCCGGGTAAATATGGTTATTTTGATTATTTGATGTGATTATACTCGTGATATTTTGATTCATTCATAATATATTTTGTAAGGTTATGATATTTTAATAGCTCATAATTAATTTAATAGCATGTGTTGTACCTTAGGTGGAAGCTATGTTGAAGGAAACTTTTTAAGAAATGCATATTGGTGGAAGGATACTGTTGGACCTTGGGAAGAAAGATCTGGACATTTTAATGACATATGGTCTTACTGGAATGATGATGGACTTGGCTACTTTGAATTTCTCCAGGTCACTTTAATCATCTTGTTAATTCAGCTTTCAAACCCTAATTCTCATTTATTCAAAAATCAAAAATACTCTGTTTTACAGCTGGCAGAAGACTTGGGTGCATCACCAATATGGGTATTGAACAGTGGTACTATAGCATTCTGTTTTCTTTAACTCTACTCTTTAAACACACTTGTTAATTAATCCTCTTTTTTCTTTAACTGAAAGGATTCAGCCACCAAGAGGCAATCGATGCCTCCAACATTACACCTTTTGTACAGGTATTTTTTACTTTCAATGTCACAAACTTTAATTTTAATCCCCTCTTAATATAAGATTATAGTTTCAGTTTCATTAAGAGGTTTTTGTTTTTTTTTTTAATTCAGGATGCTCTTGATGGAATTGAGTTTGCTAGAGGTGATTCGAATTCAACATGGGGATCTATTCGAGCTAATATGGGACACATAGAACCATTTAATTTGAAACATGTTGCAATTGGAAATCAAGATTGTCAAATGCCACATTATCGTGGTATGCATTTCTATCTACTTTTTTTAGTTTTAGTTGATGTATGTATTTAAAAAACTTGTTTATTATCAAGGCAAATTCTATCTTATTTCTCATTTTGCATAGCAAATTACCTCAAGTTCTATGATGCTATAAAGAAAGCTTATCCAGACATCAAAGTGATATCTAATTGTGATGGATCAAGCACACAATTAGACCACCCTGCAGATCTGTATGATTATCATGTAAGATTCTTTCTTCAACATTGATAGAGAATTAGAGATAGTAATTTGATCCACAAAGGGGTGTTTTTTGCTAAAATGATTTTTTTTTTAAATTCTTGTTAGGTCTATGTAAATGCGAGAACGATGCTTTCTATGGCTCATAAGTTTGATCTTACATCACGAATTGGTCCAAAGGTTTGTAAATTTGAGTTCAAAATGATTAGAAAATATATATATTTTATTATGTGAAAAGTATGTGTGAATTGTGAGAGTGAATGATTTCAGGCATTTGTAAGTGAGTATGCTGTGGTAAATGATGGTGGTTCAGGAAATCTTTTAGCAGCACTTGCAGAAGCTGGATTTCTCATTGGCATAGAGAAGAATAGGTTTGTCTTTTTTTTTTTTTCTAAAATGTTAATTACATAAACATATATGAGACTCTAAATAAATAACTGAAAATAGGAGAATCTGGTTGTAACAACTTTAGCCAGATTTTTTTCATTTATTCAAGGTAAACTAAACTGAAGTGCTATTTCTTTTCTATTTAATGCACTTAATGGAGGCAAAACTTTTAAAGAATGACTATTTTTCCCCATTAAGTCCTTTATGGATAAAGTGGTTGAATAGGTAAGGGTGTCCCTATGGATAAAGTGTTGTATACATAAGGTTTATTTCTTTTCTAGACTGAATAAACCGTCTAAACAAGACTAAATGACCATTTTACCTTTATTTTCCCAAAAAAAAATTTCATAATGTTCATCAGTTTTAATGTGAGATGAGTTAGGTGGAAAAAAGGGAACATAGGTAAAAAGTTAGTGTCTTAATACATTAAGACAGATTTCATTTTGTCCAGATTAAGTAAAAACAAGAAGCAGACATGTATAGCTGTCCACATTAAGTTCTTAACCCATTAAGCTATAGTATAAATGGGTGTTCCTTTTGACTTGGTAGATAAACTCATGAAAATGATTGCAAATTTCTAAAAAGTTACAACTTTAATGGGGAAATACACATTTCCCTGACTTTCTCTACTAAATTGTTCTTTCTATCTTAAATGAAAAAGAAACACACATATACAGCTTAACAAATTAAGTCATGTCCCTCATGAAGTTCATTAAGTGAAAAAGAAACAACACCCTTCTCTTTCTAGAATCCCAGTATTCTAACATGATTCTTGTTGCAGTGATATTGTTGATATGGCAAGCAATGCACCTTTGTTTCTGAATGCCAATAACAAGGGGTATATACGTTTTCTCTTTTCAAAAATTCTATTTGTGACTAAAAATTATCAACTATTTTATATAATGAGAACTTGTAATAACAGTATGTTATTATTCTCTCTTTTAAGGTTTGTGCCAGATGCAATAGTGTTTGATTCTTATCGGGCTTATGGAACACCAAGTTACTGGATGCAACGGTTTTTCTCAGTGTCAAATGGTGCAACTCTTCTTCATTCAGACCTCCAAAGCAATTCATCAGATTCACTTCTGGCATCCACTATTTTGTATCAGAACCCAGTGGATAAGAACAACTATATAAGAGTAAAGGTAAAATTTAACCCTTTTTACCTTAACCTAAAACGGGTCGATTTTGAGTAATTTCTTTTTTAGGTTTTAAACTATGGGAGTAACCAAGTGAATATGAAGATAGCAATTAAAGGGTTAGATCCTGGCTTAGTAGACTATTCAAAGTCATCAAAAGCCGTGTTATCCTCCACTAATGTTATGGATGAGAATTCTTTCCAAAATCCAACCAAGGTGTTTATTCTCTCTTATATGACTTAATAATAACTTGATAAATAAAGTTATGTCCATGTTAAGTTCATTAAGTGAAAAAGAAATAGGGCTTGACTTTTCATGGGCATATCACGATGCAGGTTTCAGTGGTTCAAAGCTTAATCAAGAAACGTAGGAATGATATGAATGTGGTACTCCCACCAAATTCTTTGTCTTCTTTTGATTTGTTAATATTGTCAAAGGATATTGTACAGATTATTGCAATGAATGGTATGTCATATGTATCATAGATTTAAAAGTGTAAATCATTATCAAAGGTCTAATGTAATTATGAAAAGCATACTGACTATAAATAAAATAACTTTTTCTTTAATCCTAAAATCTATTGTTTTCCATTGATATATTTTGCTTTTTGCTATAGGCAGATGTTTACATGGTTTTGACGTGTAAGTAATCAAACCACCAAAGAGGCAAAGAGCCCCTCATGAACCACTCATATTGTTTATTCATTAGACCACACAGTGTCTACCATACCGCATACCGCGGTAAGATGCGGTATGCAGAAACACCGCACCGAGGACCAAAAAGAAAATGCGGTAAGGGTTTATCGTGGTATGCTTTTACCGCACCCTTACCCCCTTTTGACCGTTTGAAAGTAGCGGTTTGCTATTTTCTTTTTTTCTTTTTTTACATTTTCCTATAAATAAAACTTAACTTCTCATTTTAAAATCACCAAACAACACAACTTTCTCTAGTATGTATTTCGTTTAATTAAGGAAGTATTGTCCTTTTATTATTTTTAATTTATTACATTTTATTCAATAAAAAAAAAAAAACAAAAGTATGGTAAGGTATGGTATGACACCCATCAGTTTTGTGAGGTGTGGTAAAAACTAACGTGACAGTAGAAAAGTGTGGTGAGTGTAGTATGCCGACACCCACCAACCTTATAAAAATACTTAAGATATGTGGACATAGGATCTTTAAGTTTCGGAAAGGGCTGCTATTGCTTCTCCTTCACAAGCCCGATTCCAATGGTTATGGTTATATTAATTCCTGCGACCCTACTGATGATTTAGTAGGACACCAGAGAGATCGAGAGAAAACGCTCCATTATTTTATTCATAATATTGATCTGATACTAAAAAGAACAGGAAATAAATATTTATACTAAAAAACTAGGGCCAACTCAGCCCTATAACAAAACAAATAAAGCGATAATACCCCTCCAGCCTAAATAAGGAAACAAATAAGAAAATTAAACTCAGAAATCTTCACTCCCCCTCAAGTTGGATATGGATATGAATCATATCCAGCTTGCTCTTCATACTTTCGAATTTGTTCTTTAGAAGGGCCTTGGTGAGAATGTCAGCAACTTGAAAGTCTGACGGGACATGCAACAGCTCCAAAATTCCAGATTCTAACTTTTCTTTAATGAAATGGCGATCAATCTCCACATGTTTGGTACGATCATGATGGACAGGGTTTAGCAATTTCAATTGATGCTTTATTATCACAGAATAGAGTCATCTTTTGGTTATTCTGAATTTTTAGTTCCTTTAGCATCCTTCCTAACCATATCCCCTCACATATTCCTTGACACATTGCTCAGAATTCAGCCTCAACACTACTTCTAGCCACCACAACCCCACACAAAAGTGTAATAACCTGTTGTTGACCGTCCATCAACACAAGATCCTCCCCAATCTGCATCAGTGTAAACGTTTACTCCTCTCTCATTGGATTTTTTAAAGTATAGACCATATCCTGGATTTTTTTTAAGTTGTGCAGAATTTGAAAAACAGCTTCCATATGCCTAGTTGTGGGAGCATTCATGAATCTACTCACCATACCCACAGCAAACCCAATGTCACATCTTGTATGTGCAAGATAGATCAACTTACCCACCAATCTTTGATTTCTTCCTTTATTAACAGGTTCGTCTTCGGCTTTTGTTCGAAGTTTTATTCCTGGTTCCATTGGCACACTTTTTGGTTTGCAACCCAACAATTCGGTTTCTTTCAAGAGATCAAGAGTGTACTTTCTTTGTGATACAGAAATGCCTTTTCTTGATCTGGCAATTTCCATACCAAGAAAGTATTTAAGCTGGCCCAAATCTTTTATTTCGAATTCTTGTCCTAAAACAAGTTTCAGTTCTTTAACTTGCTCTGAGTAGTCTCCGGTTATAATGATATCGTCCACGTAAACAATCATGATTGCAACTCTCCCATCATGAGAGTTTTTAGTGAACATCGTGTGGTCGGTTTGCCCCTGAATGAATCCGTATCGCTTAACCACTTGAGTCAGTTTTTCAAACCATGCTCGTGGCGATTGCTTTAGACCATAAAGAGATTTTTGAAGTTTGCACACCATTCCTTTGTTTTCCGGAGATTCGAGACCAGGTGGAACATCCATGTAAACTTCTCCCTCTAGTTCCCCATTTAAGAACGCGTTCCTTACATCGAGTTGATGCAATGACCAGTCAAGATTTACAGCAAGAGAGAGTAATACACGAATGGAATTTAGTTTTGACACGGGAGCAAAAGTTTTCGCGTAGTCGATCCCGTAAGACTGTGTAAAGCCTTTAGCGACCAGCCTTGCTTTAAATCTGTTTACACTACCATCAGAGTTGTATTTGACAGCAAATACCCATTTGCACCCCACGGTTTTCTTTCCTGGTGGAAGATTAGTGTATTCCCATGTTTTGCTTTTCTGAAGGGCATTCACTTCTTCACAGACTGCATTTGCCCATTCCTTTTTTGAGATTGCTTCTTGAAAGTTCCTAGGAACTTGAATTTCTGAAACTGAAAGAGCAAATGCTTTGTACTTTGGTGAGAGTTTGTCATATGACACAAAGTTACTTATTGGATGCATAGTACAAATTCTCTTCCCTTTCCGTAAAGCAACTGGAATATTTAAATCATCCGACTCATTTGGGGAAATGTAAGAAGTGGAATCATTAGATTGAGTATTACTTGGTGAATTCGGAGATGATTCATGGTTGTGTGCTTCAGTGGTGACTTGCTCTACCACCTTAGTATGCTGTCTCGGCCTTCTAGTGTAGACTATGTAGTCTTTTTGAGCATCTTTATTTGAAGTTCCATCAGTTGGTGGAGTTTGAATACCCGGATTTGCACTGTTAGAATCTACTTGGACTGGTATCACTATTGGGTCGGAATGGTATAAAGTAGGATAGTCCAAAAATTGATATTTCTCAAATTTCTCCCCTGAATATCAGTTTTGGAGTAGTAAGGTTTATCTTCAAAGAATGTGACATCCATGGAATGATAGAATTTTCTGGTGGACGGGGAGTAGCACTTATAACCTTGCTGGTTCGGGGAATATCCTAGAAAGACACATTTGAATGACCTAGGATCTAGCTTGTTACGGTTTGGCTGATGATTATGAACGAATGAGGTACAAACAAATATTTTAAGTTGTACCTGGGACAAAATCCGAATGTGAAGGAAACTAGATTGTAGAGATTGGTGTGGCGTTTTGAAGTCAATGACTTGAGAAGGCATCCTATTAATAAGGTATGCTGCAATTAAAACGGCTTCACCCCAAAAATAATTCGGAACAGAACTGGATAATAGTAATGAACGAGTTACTTCAAGTAGGTGTCTATTTTTTCTTTCTGCTACTCCATTCTGTTGAGGGGTATCAACGCATGATGTGCGATGAACAATTCCCTGTTGAGTAAGGTAGTTTCCCAACTCATAATGAAAGTATTCTTTTGCATTATCATATTTAAGCACTTGAATTTTTGTGGCGAATTGGTTTTGTATCATTTGATGAAAACGTTGGAAGATCGGCCCAACCTCAGATTTGTCTTTCATCAAAAATACCCATGTAACACGAGTATCGTCATCGATAAAGGTAACAAACCATCTCACACCAGAGATATTTTTCACTCTGGAGGGTCCCCAAACATCACTATAGATTAAGTAGAAAGGATGAGAAGGTTTGTACGGAAGTGGAGAATAAGAATGTCTAACATGTTTGGATATTTGACACACTTCACAATTGTAATCATTCGGATTTTTATTCATTAAATGGGGAAACAACTTCTTTAAATAACGAAAATTTGGATGACCTAACCTATGATGCCATAGCATCACATTATTTTAACCAGAAACATGAAACACTGATGAGAACAAATGTTTTTTGACTTCTTGGCTTCAAGGTGGTAGAGCTCATCGCATACTTTAGCACTGCCAATCATCTTTCCCGAACTCAAGGCCTGAAACATACATATAAATGGGGTTAAGATAGTAATGCAATTAAGATTCCTCATTAATTTAATGGGGGATAACAAATTGAAGTCAAGACTGGGGACATATAACACACATTTCAATGTTATATTCTTGGATATGACAACTGTACCAATGCCCTCTACTTTCGAGTCTTCTCCTGTAGCAACTCGTATTGTTCTTCCATTAGGTACCGGCTGAAAGTCGGTGAATACATTCTGATCCCCAGTCATGTGATCAGTAGCACCACAATCAACAACCCATGGTTTTTCTGCAAATGCATTTGTTACAAATGCAGATGAGACTCCACCTTGTTGAGCCACAGTAGCAATCCCTTTGTTTTCATGGGATGTGATTTGCAACATCTTCCGGAGAGCTTCAATTTGTTCTTTGCTAAACACTTCCTGGGTTGTTACTAGCCGCTACATTTACACGAGAACTGGGTTTCCAGTCAGATGGTTTTCCATGAATTTTCCAACAGGTTTCTTTGGTGTGACCAGTTTTTTTGCAATGATCACACCAAGGCCGACTATTCTTCTTCTGAGACATTCCAGGGCTCACTTGAAATTTCATACTAGATGGAGCACGAGTTGCGAGATCAAATCCCTCATTTGCGATGTTGCCAATATTTCCAAGCATTACTCTTCTTCGGCTTTCTTCACGTCGGACTTCTGAGAACACTTCCCTGAGGTTGGGCATAGGTTTAGTACCAAGAATCCTTCCTCGGACTTCATCAAGTTCCTGGTTGAGTCCAAGAAGTAATTTATAAATCCTTTCGGTCTCAACCAACCGCTTGTATTGTTTTCCATCTATCGGGCAGCTCCAAGTAACAACATCAAGGACATCGATTTGCTGCCAATAACGGTTTAATGCGGTGAAATAACTCGTCACAGTTGACTCTCCTTGACGGAGATCATGGAGAATTCCCTTGATTTCAAATAGAGCTGAAGTGTTATCTTGATTTGAGAATGTGTCACGAGCTGCTTCCCAAATTTCTGATGCTATCTTGTAAAACATAGATTGTTCTCCTATTTCAGGAGTCATAGAGTTCAAGAGCCAGGACATAACCATATTGTTCTCTGTCTTCCATTTTTTATGTTCTGGACTTTTATCATCAGGTTGGACTAGGTTTATGGACAAGTAATCTTCTTTTCCTTTTCCTCCAATGAAGATTGAAACCGAGTAAGACCAAAGGTTGTAGTTATGACCATTCAGTTTATATGTTGTGGGTAAGGAGATGTAATCAGGATTCAAAGTTGGTGGAATTTGGGATGAGTTTGCAGATGATGAGTCGGAATTGACATCTTCACTGACCAGGGCAGTGGGTATATTTCCGAATTTGATTGAAGTATTATTCATGATGACAGAGGCGTGAAAGAATCCTCACACCAGGGTTGCAAAAAAAAGAAGAAGGAAGAAATTGGTTTGGAATAACCCACCCAAGAATGGGATGATAAGAGAGATCGTTGGTTTAAGGATAATCTAACCAACCTGTTTTGAAGGACGACACTCGATTAGGTCTGGATCGAGCTCCTCTCTGATACCATATTAATTCCTGCAATGCAACCCTACTGATGATTTAGTAGGACACCAGAGAGATTGAGAGAAAATGCTCCATTATTTTATTCATAATATTGATCTGATACTAAAAGAACAGGAAAGAAATATTTATACTAAAAAACTAGGGCCGGCTCAGCCCTATAACAAAACAAATAAAGCGATAATACCACTCCAACCTAAATAAGGAAACAAATAAGAAAATTAAACTCAGAAATCTTCAGGTTACAACAAAAGTGAACCTTTCGGGTATTGACTATTAAAATGGCTCAGTGAAGACGCTTATTTGGTGTTCTTCCGGCAGATGAAAACCAACTAGCCAATCAGAAAAAGGCTTTTGTCCTTGGAACTCAAGCTGGACAAGAAAGCAAAGTCGGGGACCTAGGTGGGAGGAACTGACTTGACTTTTCCAGTACTTAATCATTCTACTCACAAAGAGATGGCACCAAATGCCTAAACAAGACAAGAACCAACTATATGCTTAACACAAACTTTCTGGTCCTCCCTCTAGCACACAGGGATCGGCCCTACGCACCGGGGACGAAGTGTAGAGGTCGCTTTATCTTGTTGTATCGGAGTGGTTTATCGTCAAAAGAACAACAATGGCTTGTAGCATTTCCTATTGATTTGTCTAGGGATGGGATGTAAAAGAAGACTTTATTGTCTAAAGGCAGGGGTGAGCTTTCTCACTATACGTCGTTCTTTTTTTATCCCGCCTGCTTTCTTATCCATGTTTCGTAAATTTCGTACATAGACATTTAGTTGTTCTGACTAGTTTTTTAGTGCAAAAAAGGACCAACGACGATCCTATCCTAAAGGAGAAGGAGTAGGAGTAGAGCTAATAATCTTTTTTTATTCCGGCTGAGAAGACCGGTAAAAAGAAGGATCAAGAATGATATATATTTCAGGAGCTAGATCAGCTACTGATGAACAAGTCAGAATTGTCTCAACAAAAATAGATGGAATTGGGCCTAAAAAAGCCATTTTAGTTCGTTATCGATTAGGTATCAGTAGGAACATAAAGATAAAAGAATTAACTAAGTATCGGATCGACCAAATTGAACAAATGATAGGTCAAGATCATGTTGTTCATTGGGAATTGAAGAAGGGAGAACGAGCAGACATCGAACGATTAAATTCTTTTTCTTGTTATCGTGGAATTCATCATCAAGATGGATCACCCTTACGTGGTCAACGAACTCATAGTAGGCCTCCTTGGCCACTCAACTAGTGGCTTGGCTTCGCCCTAGAAGCTACTGCTTCCGCCTCTCTAGGCTTCGCTATCACTCTGGTATATGGATCTCTCTATGTAGTGGTCGACCTTCTAGAAGCTTCACTAGAAGCGACTAGTCGCTTCCTGAATGCCTCTTTCTTTGCCGCCAAACCACTATTTTAGAGCCAGCAAGCTAGCTTGCTCGCATTCTAGAAACGATAGCTTCCGTGTCCCCTTCTTGCCTACTGAAATGGATGTGAATGGTCATGACAACTCTGAAAATCCTATTCAGATTAGATATGTCACTGAAAGAAAGTGATTATGTTCCCTCGTTTTTGTTTTTTAGGACTCTGAGGATGGGTCGACCCATCCTAACATCATTTATGAGGAGCCGGACGACGAAGCCTCCTCCTCGGATGAAGATGTATTCGATGCAACTCTCCCGACAATCAAAACTTTATTTATTTATTTGTTTTTTGGCGGGTTCGATCAAAAGGGACAACTCACACCGAAGCTATAAACAAAAAAAGAAAAAAAATTAGAAAAAAACCATCATAAGTCATAGTTAAATAGAAGCATTAGAGTTCCGACCTTCAAATCCACTCTCCTAAAAGACTAACTTTTTCTTCGAGGTTAGTTTGGACCTCAAAAGACCACAAACAAAGAATGGTCACACATAGATGAATCAAACCATCTAATAAATATGCACTGTGATCCCTATTATTTATGTTATATAACAAAGAGAAATTAGGTTAAAAATAAAAAGATAGAGAAGATAAAGGAGTGGATGCTTAGTTAATAGGACATATAAATAAACGCCATCCTGAATTTAACGTAGTTCACGAAGTTTTAACCACCGTTTTAGCTCCATAACGGTAAAATTCCAAATTTAAAACTTCGATGGAAACATGGAGAGAGAGAGAGAGAGAGAGAGAGAGAGAGAGAGAGAGAGAGAGAGAGAGAGAGAGAGAGAGAGAGAGAGAGAGATGTTCGGTTGGAACAAAATACATAAAGCCAAAAATACGACCGTTCTAATATGAGAGATTGTAAAAAGAGAAAATACCCTCATGTAAAATGCACACGAGGGGTTATTAACGATGTTGGACAAACAATACAAATCATATCACATGGACCGAAATATAGTATAAAAAAAACTAGAAAGAAACTAGATGTAATATTTGAATGAAAATAATAATATTATAGACAATATCCTTTAGTTTTGACATAAGGGAGGAAATAAGGGATCATTAATGTAATTTTGCCTATTATTTATTTGAAATAAATTAAAATGGTATTAATTAAACCTCAAAACTATCTAAAATATAATGACTTTTTATTTATTTGTGATTTGTCAAATATTGCAAATAAACCCATTGTATATGTTGGGAGCATAGGGGCGATTTTAAATGAATCTTTGGGGTTTTCCCGATATTTGCCCTTCGTTTGAAGCCCTAACTCAGGTTATGTTGTCTCCACCTTACCATTGACGAAGCTCATCTTTATCTGGTACGTCCTTTTCCCTCTCATGATATCGCTCGCTCTTGCATCATCTTCTCGAGCACACGCGCACAGCCGAAACAGTCAAATTGATCTGCTTGTGGTTTAGGGGAGGCGCTCTTCCTGAAGCTCATAGTCTGGTACTTCATTTCTTTATTGTACTGTAAATGTGTTTTTTAGTTCACGAATCATACACAACACAGATTTTGGTTAAATTTATACGAATCCAACCTTTTAAGATGTCTAGTGTTATATATGAGCGTTTATTTTCACAAAGAATCCATTAGAATTGATTTGAAGTTATTAGTAGTTGGAAACGATGAAATATTTCCGAAACTGTAAAGAAACAGTTTAAAACTGGATTTACTGTTGTGATTGACATGATCCAGACGAAGTCTATCAAGTAATCAGTTTAAGAACAAGATTTCCAATTAGACTGGTAGTTGTGGTCCAAGAAGGACAATACTTAATATTCTTGAGGTCTTTTTATTATCCTGATTGAATGAAATAATTAGTTAAGGAAGTAGAGACTTCATAACATATTAACATGAATGGGGTGTCATCCTTTTGGTTGAAAGTTCTACACATGATCTTCAACTATATGTTGCAGGGCTCTTTGACCGCATATGAGTCTGAATAAACACTATATGGAAGTTATACGTATATGTCTTCTTAGCATAGAATCCGAATAAAACATGAGAGTAATATGATCAAATTACAGTTTTTATTGTCAAACTACTACATGAATTCTTTGAGTGGTAGAATCATATTGTAGCTATGGCAACCACTGGAGTGTATAGAAGATTTTGGAGATTGTAGCTATGTCAACAAGTGTAAGATGTATAGTAGTTCTTAGAGATGAATAAACTGACATGTATTTATGGTTCAGTGATCAGTTCTTAAAGGAAAACACTATTGAATGATGCTTTTAGAGCAAACATAAATGTTGATTTTTTTATTATTTTCTCTCCCAAAAATCTTAAACACAAGATACAAACTCAACTATTGAAAATGATGTAAACATACTTGCTTCCACTAAAAATAGGAACATTTCTGGTTCTAGAAATTGTACAAAAGAAAGAAAAGATATTGTATGAGCTGTACCACTAAGAAAAGTTATTTAGTAGAATTCTATATTTAGTGTGGGATGATGCCAGAATGCTTTAATATTTGTATAGTATGTATGTCCCATCAGTCCATAATAACCCATTTAAATGATACTAAAAGCCATTTTTTGAATGAGATATAGTAGAGCTAGTTATAATATTAAGAGCCCTTATAAGTGCAATTAAACTAGGAGAGTATGCTTGGAACTTGTAGTAGGTATTTTCTCTTAGGAGACTTTCTAATGCAACGTTATGTTCAACAGTTTAAAAGGGGACATTGTCTGATACTCTGATATTGTCATTGTTATGTTTTTGCAACATATATTTTAGTGGGGGAATCTAGATAATTGGAAGTTATCTTTGTTGTAGAAAGTTGTGGAGTAGATCAGTGGAGGCTCTTAAAAGGTAGCTAAGGTTAGAAATGTTCTGGTTGTAAAAAGCATATTATTTGGAAGAAGAGTTTAATAATTTATACATATAAATTAAGCAAGAAGTTACAAAAAGTTCAAGAAGAGTAATCCAGACATTTCATTTGTCACTATTTATAGTCCAGTTCCAGAGTTATATTTACAAACCACACAGAAAATTACAAGGAAATGGAATTCATTGAATTCCATTCCATTCTTTGCGAAATCTTTTTCAATTCCTTTAGAATCTTGTTCCAGTGCTGTCTTTTTGAGTTGTTTGATTTTACATATGATATTAATTACAAACTTATGATTTACAGGGATTCTTGAATCTAGTTTTACATAGCTGGCAGGATGAGTGATGATGTTTTTGATGGACAAATGCTGGCAGACAAGCTGTCTAAACTCAACAGTTCTCAACAAAGTATAGAATGTATCCTTTTTTTGGCAGGAAAAGAACCCTTCATGCTTTTTGTAATTTGTCGACAAATATGTGATGGCTTGTAATCTTGTTTTACACATTTGAAAAAAAAACGGTTTCTTTTTAAAATTTATATTTTTCTTTCATTATGTAGATTCAATATGCATACCTAGTGTTCAGGCCTGTTTTTCCAATGTCTTCAAACTTTCAAAGACTTGGCTTTTTCTTTTATTTCTTTTTTTTAAAAAAAAAATTATCTTGAAGTCTATTATTCTTTTAAAATTGACTCATGTTGTCATTTCGGCTCTTAAGTCCATCAATTTGCTTCGTCTTACATTATTATCTCTATCGAAATGGAAGAATATATTGCAATAACATCACTTTAACGTTTACATGCACACTTATATTATTGTGTACCTTTGTATGTTATATGTTTGTCACTACATATATATATATATATATATATATATATATATATATATATATATGTATGTATATATATACACACACACACACATACATAAAATGTGCGCTTGGAGGTGGTGTTCTGACCCATTTATAGGTGCATGGATTGATTTGGGTTATACGTTATCTCTAAGGGGTCAAATGGGTTGCTTAAATATGTAGCTTAAATCAAAGTGTATTTTAATAATCCATAATCTCTTTTTGTTTTACAAAAAAATAGTTTGTAGTTGTAATAAAAATATAATTTTGTAGCCATATATTTAAAACAATAATTGCTTATAAGTTATGGAGAAATTCTAGTCAAGCCTATGCTTTTCCTTAATCCTAGATTAGCACTATCCCATTTGTGTATGTCACAGAGGAAGAAAGCCAAACAGATTGTTGGAATATGGCATAAATCATTCAAATCTGCTCAGAAAGAGCAACATGTTGCTTTTCTGTATTTAGCCAATGACATTTTGCAAAATAGTAGGCGGAAGGGCAGTGAGTTTGTGAGTGAATTTTGGAAGGTCATGCCTTCAGCCCTCAAGCATGTTAATGAACATGGTGATGCAAATGGGAAGAAAGCAGCATCAAGACTGGTAATTTCTTTTAATAGCCTATCTTAATTTTCTTTCTAGCTTGTAGGTTTAATTGCATCGATGAATTATAGCAGAAGCATAATATACTTCATATTCAGTTCTTCATGTTTCTTTATTCAATGAATATATATTATACTTTTGGGTTTAACCATCAATTCGTTGCTAAGGTTTAGAACACATTTTCTTGACCCTAAATCCTTTCGATTGCCTGATTCATATGTATCTGTATCTGTTTCTTTATATTAAAATATTGAATCTGAGCTTGTTTGAATATTTTTATCTGTTTGTTTTAAAATTTTGTGAACTTTTACAGAAAGATATATTAACAGATGTTCGTAAAGGAAAATTAAAAATAAGATCGACTGTACATTAAAGCCAAACAGTACTTGAAGTAAAATTTGAAAGTTAGAAATAATCAATATAATTGTAGAAAAATAAGTCATTATTTCACCAGGAGACATTTTTCTACCAAATTGACAATCTTTAACTTATGGTTCTTCCACATCAACAGGAGTAGAAATTTACATGTCATGGTTTTTAAGATGGAATGTTGAAATTCATGGGTGAAGGAGGTTGGAATTCAATTCCGCACTGATTTGCAACCAAATGCAGGATTGGAATGGAGTTGAATTCCAACTCCGGTCAAATCCACAGAATCCGGCAAACCAAACACCTGAAATCCTGCTGGAATATGCATTTTTCATGAACTTTGTTTGGATAAATTATCAAATTCATTAAGGTTAGGGACTTAGGGGGTAATCTCTAATCTGTGAGTTCGAAGAAGCTTAGGGGTTGTTCATTTCTTTGAAGTACTAGTAGGGATTGACAAAGGAGTTTTTCTGTATGATAGGTAGTCTCAAGGATTGAGTCATTCAATGAAACTGATGAAATCCTATCTGCTCTTGCTGTATAACTATAAAATATAAATGTTTGTAGAACATAATTATGCTACTTGTTGGTTGTCATCTTTTGGAGTATCGACTCATGATGTTGTGAAGGCATATATGTATGTTTGAGGATTTATGTCCATAATATTTAGAGTGACAGATACTTTTAACCATTTTACTTGGGTTTAGCTTCCAAGATTACCATTCTACTTGTAAAAAGCCTAAGATTAGTTCTATTTCTTGACCCTGTATGTTGGTTCAACGTTTGAATGATGATATATTCCATTACAATTTGAATGATGTTGGTTCCATACGATTACTTTAAAAGGTTGACATATGGGATGAAAGGAAGGTTTTTGGATCCCGTGGTCAGAATTTGAAAGATGAAATGCTTGGTAAAAGTCCTCCCACTCCATTGACTACCAATGGAAAGACTTCTACTTGTAACCCCATCAAGATAGTGAAAAGGGATGCCAACTCATTGAGACTTGTGAGTACCAGATTTCGCTTCCTTTCTTATATATAGATATTGTAACATCTGTTTGGGTTGATTTGATAATTGATACGAGTATTTAATAATATTGGTAAAATGTTGCAGAAATTGGCTGTGGGGGATATCCCAGAAAAGATAATGACTGCTATGCATGCGGTACATGATGAGAGTGGCATGGAAGATACCGCCTTAAACAACTGTGAAGCTGCTGTTCGCCGTTTTGGAAATTTGGAGAGAGATATTGAAACTCAAGGTAATAAATATATATATATATATATATATATATATATGTTTGTTTCTCTAGATAAGTTGCTATAGAATTTAAGAATCTTTTGCACATTTGAAATCCCATTGTGTTCAATCTTTTTGGGTGGGAGTGGACAAAAAGGACAGTACAACCTGTCACATGACAAACATGGCTGTAGACATGATTGGTGTATTGTTCTTTTATTTATTTATAACTATGTTTTTTGTTTTCAGGAGTTGCACTAGGACCTTCATTGGTAGAAGAGATACAGGAGCAAGAAAATGTACTTGAAGAATGTGTCACCCAACTTGAAACTGCTGAAAGGACCAGAACCTCATTGATTTCCCAGCTTAAACAAGCACTCCAGGATCAAGTATGATTGCATATTAATTCCATGCTCCTAAAAACTTAATGTTGAATCACTTACTTACATTTGGTAAATAAGACTTGTATTTACAGAAGAGACTGTTAAGTTAAAAAATCAAAGGTTATTACAATATTAGCGCATCTCATATCAAAATTCAAAACTGAAAACCTAAAACCTACAACCTTGGTGCTAGTTTAAAATTTGTAAAGTAGAATGTTAAAATTAAAAAACTCATTGTGATTATTACAATTGCTGTACATGATTATGTTTATTGTTGTAATCTGTTTCAGGAATTGAAGCTAGATGTTATTCAGAGCCAGTTGCAAGTATCTCTCTCTCTCCCCCCTTTTTATCCATGCTATAAAATTTATTGTTATTACTCTTATTATTTTTATTGCTATTGTATTGTTGTTGTTATTATTATTATTAATATTAAAGTGATATGAGTGTCAAACACCCCTTGTTGGGTGTGTTTGGAAATGATTTTTTTTTCACCATTTATTTTAAACAAAATAAATCACCAAATGACAACGAAAAATTCCATATTTTTATTACCTTGTTGATAAAAAATATTTATAAAAATACATGAAGATATTAAACTCATCTCAAAGACAATATGAGAAGGAGACTAGATTCTTAATTAAAATCACTAAACAAAAGAAAAATATAAGATAGTGCCTAAACTTAGTTACTGCCTCGCACTAATCTTGGATTCTAATGACCTATTTATAGTGAAGGTGTCCTTAAACTAACAGCAAGCAATCTTTAATCCTTATGAGTAAAGAGGTTAATAATAATAATAAAACACTAATCATAAGTTGATAATGATAAAAGGATACTAATCAAGTAATAATAAAAACACTAAGCCCCCAACAATTGCAAAATCTAACCAAACAGATGAATGAGACCACCCCTTGTTTATTTTATTACATTTTCCCTTTAATATTTTATGGGTTCTTCATAATATCTTGTCTCATATCAAATCATTGATTCCCAAGATCTTGTCTTAATTTTGGAACCAGAGAGACCAAAACCACAAAAAACAGCAAACCACAGGAACTAAATTAGCAGTTTTCTCTGAATAAAAAATGCAATGCATATGTATCAAATTGATACAAATCTATGCCCACAAACCACCAGCATCATTGTATCGTTTGATTCTTGATGATTCACCAACAATTTCCAGAAATCTTCATGCTTCAAGTCCAAAAATCTTCTTTCAGTTTCAGTGATCATTTTTTGCACAAAAATACTCCATGGCTTCTCTTATCCTCTTCTTGAGCCGATGAAAGTTGAAACCATAAAAGGTCTTGATTCCCCTTTATATATCTACGGATTCCTCCCCATAAAATATATCATAATTACTTTAATTGTGTCATAAAATTCCAAGACACAAAATAGCAATGAACTATGACTTTCACCCTTGTAATCATATATATATATATATATATATATATATATATATATATATATATATGATATAGCAACTATTTATTTCTAGCAAAGGTGTTTAAATACATTAGGAGGTGGATTTGTGTGTCATTATTTATTTTATTCCCTAAACATGTTTACCTATTTATTTATTTATGGTGGACATTTGTATCCGATGCTCTTGCAGGTTGCTCGACATCAAATTGATGATGCTGTAAATTTAAGGAAGAAGTTGGTATCACCTTCTCTTCCTCCAACCCAAAACCAACCACCACCACCTGAACTCACAACTGAATCCATGTCTTCTTACGGAACCACCACCCATGTCACAGAAGAAGACAACAAGAAAGCTGCCGCAGCTGCCGTCGCCGCCAAGCTTGCCGCCTCCACCTCCTCCGCACAGATGCTTGCCTCCGCCCTCTCTTCTCTAGTTGCCGAGGAGGCTGCCGCCTTTAATTCCCCCGGATTATCCCTATTCTCACCGGAAAAACGACAGAAGCTTGAAAAACCAATGCCCGTCTCCGATTTGACCAATTCCAATTCCGATTCCGGTTATTTCTCCAACAACCAAACACCATTCCCACCACCACCACCACTGCCGCCATCGTCCATGAGTTCTCCGGCGAATCAATTTGTTCAGTCCTCTGGATTAATGATGCCGCCGTATGTGTATGGTTCCAGCAGCCTGCCACCGCCACCCCCTTTGCCGTCACATATTGCAATGGGGTTGATGAGGCCTGGCCACCACCAGCAACAACAACAGCAGCAGCAGCAGAACCCATCTCAGCCACCACCAACGAATGGTGGTGGATACTACCGGCCGCCAGGTATTGGATTTTACGGGCAAGGGCATCAGCCGGCACCGCCACCGCCTGTGCCCCGCCAGTGAACCGGTTTTGTATATTAATAGGAATCTTAGACATGAATGTTCTGTTCAGTTCAGTTAAATGCTGTTGTTAAAACTCAACTCTAGGTCAGGTGAGATGAGATGTAACTGCAAGTAAATGTCACAAGTCAACTATACTATGGCTTGGCTTATAAGCTGCTTCTTGGTTGCTTGTATTACTTTTCTTAAAATTTCTACCCTTTTTATTTTACATTACATCTTCTCTTCTCTTATGTTGTAGAATTTTGGTCCTTGAGCTTTACAATGCTTAAATAAAATCATCTATGTAAGATTGCCGTCGACTAGAGAAAACCGGCGGTCAACATTTTATAGTTTTTCTTGCTCAAGTTTTGGAAAAGTTGCTGCTTCTTTATAGTTCATTGATCAACTAAAAAAAATCATGGTTGTAAAAGGTGTTATTTTTGTCCAACTAAAAAGATGGAACGAGGGACTTTATTTTTTGTGTGCGCAAAAAATATAAATGTTTTTTTTTTCGTTGTGATTATAAAAAATAGTCTTAAAAAGCTTTTTTATTGATGAAAGTTGATTGGTTTAAGAGGAAATAACATTAGTGTGGTAATAAAATTTTAAAGGGAAAATAACTTGCAAGGATAATTAATTTTTGGTTTTATTCATATTTAGTTATTTTTTTTATATGCTAACTTATTTTTTTTGAACTGGTTATTGCATGTCATATGTGTTTTTTGAGTACCATAAACTATATATGAACAAAAGTAAAATTTTATTACCTCATAATTCATTATCCAATTTTAATCCTTCATTTTAATTTTATTAAAAAAATTTATAACTTCACTTCATTTGGATCTTCAATTTTTTCCATCATTCAAGACAAAAATGTCAAGTGGGTATGTACATTAAACACTTGCATAGATTTTTGAGTTATACTAAAAAAGAATTATAAAAATAAATATTTATAAATGTTATAACAAAAAATAAGGAAAATTATTTTGATAATCAATTTATAAACATTTATTTTTTGCGTGTTATAAATATTTGTAAAAAAGTATTTCATAAGTCCTTTTTTAATCATCGTCTTATATCGATTAAAAACAATTAAGCAATTAAATGTGAATTTATATCCACTTGACATTCTTGTTAAAATTTGAAAAAAAAATAAAATTGAACTTCCAAATGAAGATAATGTTTGAATGACCATTAAAATAATTTTCATTTATTCTAATTACGACAATTTAATGTTTAATTATTTTTTTATTAAAGATAGATTTACAAAATAAAATTGTATAAAAATAAATATTTTACAAATTAATAGATTTTTTTATTAAAGTTAAAATAAAATATTAAGAAGGGACAATAAATTATGAGGTAACAAAAGTTACTTTTATTCATATTTAGTCCTTTTTTATTTTATATGTACATAATTTATGTATAAACTTATTTATAATACCTTCAAGGCTTCAATAACCGATTGCTATTTTCTAAAGACAAAAATTGATAGTCGAGACAAGCATTCCATTGTGGGCCAAAATTTCAAAGTCCAGTCCAATTTTAAAGACCTGAACAAAATCACAAAATTCCCCAAATATTCCGTATTCCGTGTCCCTCCGGTAATGTTATTCTGAGCTCTCACACTACCGACTGCCGAGTCCCGACTGCTTGTGAGGTCGATGGCTTTTAACAACAATCAAAACTAACGCAGGAGCTCATCATTTCAGGCAAGTTTTTACGTTACCGATTCCTCATAAAACTTGATTTTTTCATTAGATGAAAAAGGAAAATGTACATAGTAGTGTTTGATCGAATAAACCCTATTAAATTGTATCCTGATGGCAAATAGTTCGACTCATGGAGCCTTCTGCTCTAACCCTACACTAATCGGGCATATTCTGCTTCTTCGGGTCAAGATAGACCATATGAATATGTGTTTGTTGCATGAATTTGCTATGATCTTTGATGGAGCTTTCGGTTATTCTGATAACAAATTCGATAATTTCTAATACCTTAAGTGTTGTTTAGAAGATGAAGAATCATCTAATCAAGAAAACAGCCCCTGTTCTTTTAATCTCCCGTATATGAAACCAAATTGATTATCTATTTATCTGATACCTAACCTTTAAGGGTTGTTTGGATGTGCATTTTGAATGTGATTATATGATATTGAATGAAATTGCTACAAGAGATAGTCTTTAGGATGAGCCTTTGCTACATTGAGTTGTAACTATCAGTTTTGATGGAGTTGAAGTGTCTGGCATACTCTGGTTGAAAATCCTGGATCCATCACTGATCAGTGTCATAATTCTTTTCTTATTATAGTGCTGTGTGTATGCTTAGCTTAGCTTTAACTATCTGTTATGACATTGTAGGGTTTTTGTTATGAAATGCTTGCTTCTTAACTGAAGAAAAGTGAATAAGAAAATGAAGGAGCAGATTGGGTACATACCACCCCGTTATATTCCCCTGGGCCAGTCTGATCATGAACCATCAGATCTAGAGACAAGTATACTTTCAACCAATGATCAACCTCCATCTCCCAAAAAGAATGATGTCCCACTTGAGTGGTCCTCTGGAATATGTGCTTGTTTTGATGATCTTCAGAGCTGTAAGCTAACTTCTTCCCTATTTGCATTCTATTTTTACAAGTTGATAACTATATTATGCCAGAAATAGCAACCTACTTTCATTTCTTCCTATTACAACATTCTACTTTGAAAAGTCTACAATGTTCATATTGGTTTGAATGAGAGTGATTGACCGTTTTGCCCTTGGTTATTGGTTTGATTTGTTTTGTGGGATAGGCATTGTTGGTAGTGTATGCCCTTGCTTTCTTTTTGGAAAGAATGCAGAGTTTCTAGAATCCAACAGTTTCATGGGACCATGTACAACACATTTCATCATGTGTGGCGTCATCAATACCTTTTGCTGCTTCATAACTGGAGGCTTGATTCTAGCCTTTCCTGGATGCTTTACTTCATGCTATGCCTGTGGATACCGCAAAGCACTACGTGCAAAGTTTAATCTGCAGGTATGCAATACAGAAATATATATATTTTTTTCACACTTTCTCTTATTACAGAAATAGCAATGTACTTTTCAAAAAAAAAATTATTACAACATTCTTATTTCAAATTATTTTTGGCACCAATTTATCGATTTAGTTTTTGATTTATTAATCATCAAAAAATAATAGTTCAGGGGGTAAATGGTAAATGTTAAAAGTATGTTGTGTTTTTTTTTTTCCCTAAAACAATTTCCAAGTGGTTTCTCATGACAATGACTCGGGTTTTTGTTTTCGAAAATTCAGGAAGCTCCATGTGGGGACTTTGTAACACATCTTTGCTGTCACTTATGTGCGGTGTGTCAAGAGTATAGGGAAATCCGTGAAAGATCTCTCAACATCGATCCTCATGCAAATATAGTAGAAATTACACCACCTCCTCTTCAAACAATGGATTAGATAGTCTTATCTTGTTTTGTTTTCTTTGTTTCAAAATAGAGTTATGCCATATTTACAAGATTTTATTAATGTTGTTTGTTTTGAGTATTGATATTATATATACTTCAAAACCAATACTTTTCATCCCTTTTGAGGCGTTGATCCAAATATTATATTACAACAAACATACATGAATGTATAATATTAATTGAGAAAAGGATGAGAGAAATGATAAACGATGAGGCACATGCACTGAAGAAGAATGCATGGTGCTTGCAAGTTGCAAACAAGGAGTATGATGTTAAATAATAATAATAATAATAATTAAAAATAAAAACAAGACATGGCTCATTACCTTTCCAGATTATTGAAAGGCCAACTTTCTAGTTATCAATAATGACTTATTATTTGACTTTCGCATTTCTAAATACCATTTACATAAATGCCAACAGAATATTATCCATCTTTGTTTAAATACTTTACGTATCCAATAATATATATTGCAATAATTATTATGTGTAGAAATAATATGATAATCATATAGTTGATTGACTTGGTATTTGGTCTAAATAAATATTCATGGGGTAGATCTTATTGTCCTTCTTAAAGATTATGTTGACTATGTTTACTAAGTTATGTTCATTTACTTTTATTTTAGTATGGTTTTGTTTGTAACATATATTTGGTATGATCTTTTTAACTTAAATCTCTCCAAAAATTGTCATTTCAATTACACATAAGGTTATAATCCGATTTGTTTCACTTAATTAGGGCACCGTTGTTTCTTTTTTGTAGGGATGACTTATCTTTTTAAAATTTTAACTAAACATGAACTACATAAATCCTCCATGTAGTTAACCAAAAACTACGAATTGAGTTATCCTTCAGTTTTCGCATTTCTTGTCGGGTTAAGAATGAATTTAGCCAACGAACAACTTCAGTTATTTATTGTTAAATATGACTTGAGCATTTGAATGATTCTCATGAAGCATTTGAGTTCAGTGGAGCACTTGGAGTTCAATGGAGCATCTAAGAAGGGAATGGAGCATGTGAGAAAGGAATGGAGCATCTAAGAAAGGAACGAAACACCTAAGAAATGAATGGAACACATGAGAAGGGAAAAGGATATCTGATGATGCTCCATGATGAAGATGTACCATCTAGAGAGTGGATGCGTCAATTGGGAAGAAAGTGTGCCATCCATGATGAGGATGCGCCACCTTGGAAACCTGATGTGCCACTCTTGAAGAGGGTGCACCACCTCTTGCACAAGATACATCATCCTCAAGCTTGATTCGCCATCTTGGTGTAAGGGTGCGCCACATACATTCCTGATGAGCCATGGTATCCCTTGATGAACCACTTATGATACAAGGTACACTAGGATGTTTAAGATTATTCGAGGATGCTCGGATGCTCAAGGTGGATGACCCAAATGGCATGATGCACCATTTTGATGGAGAGTGTGCCATCATGATGGACGATGCTCCATCATATGATGCGTCATTAGCATTCCTAATGAGACATCTTGGTTCATGATGCTCCATCATGTGTATTGCCGATGCTCAGGCAAAGTAGCTGAAGGATAAGGGTTTCAGAAGCGACTACATAGCAGAATGTGATTGTTTGACACCTTTCATTGGCCTATGGATTAATGGGCTTGGCCCATTAGGGTTTTAGGTTTGGTCTTTAGTTTATAAATAGGGGTGTATGCTAGTCATTTGTTTGTGTCTTGAATTATAGTGAGTAGGTGAAGCTTTTTTGAATTGTATTTATAACCTCTGTTTGAGAGCTCATAAATAAAGAATACTCCCCTGCTGCTCGTAGACATGAGTTACCTTGACCGAATTACGTGAATACTATGTCTTGTGTGCTTTTGGTTTCCTGTTTTATCCGCTTTACTTCCTAACATTTCTAAAACACCAATTTATACACTTTATTAAATTAAAATGTAACCAACAATGAAAATTGTCTTTAATCCGTCCTTATGACTTGCTATAGGTACAACAAGACAACAAGTTATGAATTTTTTTCACAGTAATTATCCAAATTAAAATTTTTATTTTGAATTTGGCCCAAACATTATTTTTTTACAATTTTTTCAATATCCTCGCACATATTCATTTTTATGCATGTATTTTAAAGATTTTTTTTTTGTCTAATATTACAACTTGGTGTTTTTTCACAAATTCGTTTATACATATTTATTTTCTAACTTTTTATATTTTTTATTTTCATAAAGGGAAATCTCCAAAAAAGTCTTAATATTTTACCCTAATTTATGAAAAAAATCATAAACTAAAATGTGTTTACGAAAAAGAATCAATTACCGGTAAAAATAATGATTTGACCCATTTTTACCGGTTTCATTACTTATATGGTTTTATTAAAGTCTCATTATTTTACCATAATTTATGAATAAGTTCCAAATTAAATTTAGTGATAATTTGACAATTTTCAACATGTAACATACATTTTACCGGTTTCATTGCTGACCTGAACGTCTAGTCATTAAACGAGCTGATAAGATAGATATGATGAGTTATATAATGCTACGTTTATCGTAAAATTTGATATTCATCTTATCAACTCATTTATGACTATGTATCCAGGTCAGCAATGAAACCGGTAAAATGGGAAAAAGAAGTTAGGAAATGAGTTGATGTCTGATGAGATGGATATACCGGGTTACATAAGATTAGATAGATAATTTAAAATTTCTTATAAACTTAAAAAATGACTAAGTTTTTACTAGTTTATTTAATTATTGCAGTTTTCGTTGGATGCATTTTATATTCCAAAAAATATACAATACATCAGGATATGATGTTTTATGGTAAACATAACATTATATAACCCAACATATTCATCTCATCAGCTCATTTAAAAACTAGGCGTCCAGGTCAACAATGAAATTTGTAAAATGTATGTTACTGGGAGAAAATGGCCAAGTCATCGCTAAATTTTAATTGAGGACTTATTCGTAAATTAAGGTAAAATAATGAGACTTTAATGGAACCAGGTAAGTGATGAAACCGGTAAACTGGGAAAATTGATCAAATCGTCGTTTTTACCGGTAATTCATATTTTTTCGTAAACAAATTTTAGTTTGAGATTTTTTCGTAAATTAGGGTAAAATATTAGGACTTTTCTGGAGATTTCCCTTTTCATAAATATAAACTTGTAAAAACCTTTTTTTTTAATATTTGTTCTAAAAAATGAAAAAAAAGAAAGAAAGAAAGAAACTAAGTGTGGAAAAAATTGCAAAAAAAAGTACTTTTGTAAAAAAAAAATTGTAAAAAGAACTAAATTTTAATTAAAAAACATTTACAAACAATTTTGTAAAAAGTTGGGGCAAATTGTACAAAAATTTAGAGAAATTCATAACAAAAATTTAAAGTTGTGTTAAGTTGGTAATTTATTGTACGGTGTATCTGCTAACAAGTCGGTGGGGACAATGATACAGATTATTGGCCAATTTCAGTGTTAACCTTTTTTTTGTCCATGTGGTTACTTTGCATTTGTCATGGATTGTATCCCCTTATGTGATTCAATGGTTGATTGCATATCACCATAACTACAAGTAATTCGATTGCAAACCCTATTATTGATTAGTCATCTTATATGATTCAATGGTTGATTTGGTTGGAAAGCTATTCAATTTCAGTCAGTTTTACTTCACCTATTGTACTCATAATTGTTATGAAAAAATCGAAAGCCAACACATTTAGCCACCAGTGATGTACAAACATTAAGCTGGTCGGCCACCCAACCATGATCGTATTTCATTTATTGGAGATGATAAAATACGGAAAACATGTAGTCCATGCCGAATGAAGGGGCATTATGTTGTATTTTTTTTGCGTTCCAGGTGAATCTTGACTGTTTTTTGGAATTATGTTAGTGCTTTTTTTTTTTAATTATGTTTCACAAATAATTTTATGAAATGTTATGTTTTTTTTCCTAAATTTAAATTCTTAATAGTTATGAAGTGAATTTGATATTCCCCCTTTCGTCTTTTTTGCTGTATACTAGTATATCACTTGGTTTCATTTTATTCTTGAAAAGACCCATAAGTCGGACAAATTAAAGGGATTTCATGCCGGGAATCAAGTGGTCATAGTAAGAAAATATAGACGTTTCGTAGAATAAATAGCAAATGAATTTTTTTTTTTATAATAGATATCATTGAGAGAATCATTGTGCCAAATTAAAGGCATTTTGTAATTTTGAAAAAAATATATATATTTATTTTAATTTTTTTGAGTGGATAGGCCATCTATTAATTAAGTCCTCAGTCATGAGTGTTGATTGGACCATAAGAAGATAAACATAAACATAGAGGGACCATAAGAAGATAAACATAGAAAAATAGAGAATGTATGTAGTCACAAAAAGCACGTGGGGTTTTCTTTCTGGAGTGGTGGTCCACACGCTACACACAGTCAAACAACTTGACCAAGAGTTTTGTCTCAATAGTCAATTCTGTTAATTTGGTAGGAATTCTATTTAACAAAAAAAAAAAGTATTATTGTTTAACACCGCCTCTACTTCTAAGAAAATGCAATTTGGTATTGACTTGGTCTAAAACTAGATACATACTCCAATTTGTATTAGAGAAATTAAATATCCTCCTATCCTATTATTTTTTCTCCTACAAATCCTCCAACCCATTTAATTTCTCTTTCTTTTAAGTTGAAAATATATATATATATATATATATATATATATATATATATATATATATATATAAACTCAAAACAATGTATTTCAACCTTCTAATTTTGAAAATTTAAGTTAACAGAAGGATTTTTGGAAAAACCTTGAACATAAACCGATAATCTATTTTAAAACAGATCTCAAACCTATAAACCATTGTTGAAAAGATTCAGATCCTACGGCTGTGGCTGTTCAATCGATCGACTCATAAAATGCATTTTTATTGTGTTTGAACTCGAAGAATCTATCTTTTGTTTTGTTTAAAACTTTAAGCTATAAAATCAAAAAACACTTTCTACCACTCTTCATTTCATCACCGATGTCTGTTGTGGTTGCTTCCGGGCCTAACATTCTGCTGATTTCTTACTGGAAAACCGTTCTTTGGCTTCGGTAGGTCCCGCAACTCCATCACTTGTATCGTTCGCTGCCTTTTCGCTGTTCAAAACAAAAAAGCTCATCAATGAGAAGGGCATTTATGTCCTTTTACATGACGAGAGATAGAGAGTGAGTCAACACTTTTTTAGGTGGAAGAAAAAAGTTGCAATTTTTGTCTAATGCACACCAAACACAGTACAACTTGTTCTTAAAAAATGGGACCTAATCAAAGAAAGAACACAAACCATTTTCCGCTTGTTGATACCGTTCCTGGAGCTTTCTCTTTGCCGTTTCAAATTTATCTTGAGTGGTTGCCTCGCCAGATACCCTTTGGTTCTGTTCATCAAATTACAAAAACAGCGAGTAAGTTACAGTTTTGGCCCCTGTATTATATCACTTTTTCTAGATATGGTCCCACAGAGAATTTTATTGCATTAATCAATGACTCACGCTTTGTTGAGGTCTCTTTGGAACGGTTTGCATCTTCCTTTCCGGGTTTGGTTTGACCCGTGTTCCTGGAGCGGACTCTGGAACTGAAGGTTTGACCGGTTTCACAACAGTTGGTTGTTTCTTCTTCATCTTTGTTAAATCTTCAGATTTGAACTCGTTCTTACGAACTGTAATTGGGACGTTTGATGGTTTTTGGTGTTTTGATTTTGGTACATTTTGTTTCTCGGTTCTAATATCGTTACGGTTCTTGTTGTATCCCGTACTGTTTCCAAGATCTGTAACAATGGAAGATGATGAGTAAGACAGACAGACAGACTGACAGGACAAGCTTTCTAGGACTATTTTTGATAATCAGTACAACTTGTTATGTTCTGTCATGTCCTCTCCTGTGTAACATGGATGACGCCTAACTGACCAAATTGAAAAATAAAATAAAATTAAAGTTTTGATAAAGTCAACTCACTTCCATAATCGTCCATGCCATCAAAGAACTTCGCGCACACACGGCCAAAAAACAATAAAAGTCAGAATACGACTGCAAAAGCATTAAAAAAATATCGTTCTTTTAGAAAATATGGGAAATTTGAATTTAATGCATACCTCGGATAGCTCTAATGACGAGTGAGGGTAAAAGAATGCAAGATCATCAAGAGGAGGAGATGGGAGGCCTTCTTCTTCTTCTCCTTCTACTTCTTCATCAAGAACAGAAGGATTCAAAGACTCGGGTGTAGCTTCAGAAACCACTATTCATTGTAACAAAACAATTAATCAAATTACTGATGCAAATACTCAACATTAAATCAAGATTTTGTTTCCTGAATCAAATACCTGTCGGTTTTTCGATAGCAACCACCCATTCGTCCACCATAACCTTCCACTCTCTGCATTTTAAAAACCATTTTGTCATGCACGTGTAACTCCAAGGGTAAAATCGACTTTTCGTTTCAAACGAATGAAAGTACATCTATGAACAAGAACAACACACGGGGTTGCTAGAAATGAAACGAGCATATAATCATGTGGACAAATTAGTATTCCATTTCAAGAGGATGAATCAATCTTATGCTCGAATCAAGTCACATTGATTATTCACGACTAACCGTTATTTTACTTAAATTTAATAAGTCTCGAGTAAAGTAAGAGAGATTCATACTCTATGAGTGTCTTTGCAATATCACGAACATCCTTTGATGCATGCTTTCGAACAACATTGACAGATTTTCCAATCTCAGTTGCCTGAAGTTCAGTGGCATCCATAAATCAATCAATTGAAGTCTTGAATATATTAAAGAAGATAGAACTATGTATTTATAAATTCATAAATTATAAGAACAAGGAAGAACAAGTCTTTGATAGATGTTGTATCCGAACCTTGAGAGTTTCCACCGATAGATTCATCAGCTGAAGCTTTCTCAATGAGTTGTACAACACCGATTCAGACTAGCAAAGAAAAATGATAGACAATGAACATAAAGCACAAATCCAAGAACTCGATTTGTTCAAAAACAAGTTAGAATTAAAATCAACGAATGTGAAGTACCTCATCTTGATTGTTGTCGACAATCTCTTTAATCCTCATAACCTCACCAAAAATCAAGGATTCCTCTTCGATTTCATCGGTCAAAGCTTCGGCGACTCCATAATCGTAATTGTTAATTTGATGGTTACCCACATTAAGGTCTTGCTGTTCTTGGTCTCCAGGCAAACCTAATTCCACCTTATCACATCCAGAACACTTAATCAATTTACAAGAGAACAAAGTTTCAGCAATGCCATCTCTCCTAATCCGAAACTCGTTTGAGTAATCCGAAGCAGCAACGATGATTGCTTTCTCGATGGTTTCAAATATATCGCCATTTGAGCTCTTAAAATACTCCCTCCAGTAATCCATTCGTGCAGCAGATTTCGAAGCTGCCATTGTAACCGCCTCGCCTCCACCAAACTCGAAAAATAAAAAATCCACAAAGATCAAATACTTCGATTATTTGAAAGATCTTTGGTGGGGTGTACCCGATGATCCAAGACCCGATTTGATTGCACCCCACAAATCGAAAAGCTTCGATTTTGAAACAAATTTGGTAGAAATTAGGGGAACAACAGAAGAACAGAAGAAAGGAACAACGGGTAACAAGTGATGATCTGTTATCTCTACAATCAAAGCGATTGAAGTAGTGAAAGAGAAACCGATCAGATTGTTGTATCAGTTGGTGGTAAGATTTCTGTGGAGACGACGAAAAATGTGATTCTATAGAAATTCAAGTATTTATGTATATATGTATATGTTTTGTATTTTAAGCGTTTTGTTTAGGCTGTGAAATGGAAATCTGTGAGGAACCCAGATGGGGTTTATGCAAGAAATGATAAGAGATATTGAAGAATCCGAAATCGATAATCAAGTAAAGAAAATATTGTTGTAGTTATTAGAGATTTTTTGCCCTTTTCTTGAAAAAGTATATATAATTATTATTATATACATTCAATCGATGGGGCTAGAAATGGAAGATCTATATTATTTCGTTTGGGCAGGTGAGACAAACACAACGCAAAGCAGTAACAGGTAGAATCTTTCTAAGAAACAACATTTACTTTCAGTTTTCTACTTCTTGTGCTCTTTTCCTAAATGGCTGAAATATTTGTTTATGATTTATATACTTTTACCTAAAAAGTGTTTTTAATAATCGTTGTTTTACGATGTTGTATATAGATCATAGATGTTTATTTATGTAATTGATATAAGTTATTTAAATATGTTTTAACAGATTAAAATATTATAAAGTAAAATGTTGCATATTTTGATTTTCTTTTTCAAATATGATTGTATATTTTATCTGAAAATAACTTTGTTACACACATTAAAAAATAAAAATAAGCTGTCGTTATATAAACGAACATTTGACCCGTTTTATATTATATGAGAACTTTTATTAGATAAAAAATTAATTAAGAGTTAAATAATACCTAAAATATGATTCTAAAAGTTTATGAATCATACACATTAATCAATAATCAGTCTCACAATTATCTTGAAGTTGTCGTTAATAAACGTTACGCATAAATTTGAATTAAAAGTCTTCACAAAAAGTAGAACACGAAGATAATCCAAAATGGAATATATCATAGTATTTATAAAAATAATCATTCCGAGTGAACATTAATTCGAAAAGACAACGAATTCAAAATTTGAAAAAAAATGATATTAAATCTAGATTAACTATATCTTCATACTAGGTATATTGTTAAAAAAGTTTTAAGTAAGAGTTCAAATTAGTAGTGTGTTATAAAAAAATTGATATGAAGGTGCAAACATAATCAAAATAGAAAATAATTATGTGCACAAAGTTGTTTAATATATAAAATTATACCACCCCAAAATATAATATAAAAAAACTACATCTAAATTCGGTGAGTTTCGTTTTTGAACTCGGTCGATAATATCTTGTCACACCTTTGAAGCAAGCAGCAACACAAACATTGTCATGTTGAAACACGAAACACCTCTCTCTAGTGTAGTTTTAAAAAAATTATAAAATCTTTTTCTTTTATATTAAAAATATTTTAAATTCAAAATATACGGAATATACTATCGCAATTAATGTTTCAAAATACTTCAAAAGTTATTTATATGGAATTAAGCCCTATAATCCAAGATAAAGTTGCTTTGTTTAAAAGAACGAAGTCTATTAACTCAGTATCACCACAAATTTCAAATGCAACCTTATAACTCATGGCCTTTAAAATGTCCTTGGTACCTTCTACTTATAGCTTTAAGTCTTCAAGTATACATAAACTAGGTAATGGAATGCCTACAGAGAATACCCAAGGTTAATTCAATTTGAGTAAGTAATGATAACAATTATTGCGTTCAAATCAAATCTGAAAATCAATTCAACCCAATATAGTTCACAAAATCTAAAAGATTCAAAGTCTAGGGTTCTTATAACCCAAATCCAAAGACAATGTTAAATAAACCATAAATCAAACCAAATGTATAACGCCCTAAAAAACCAAATTCAAAGAGAGAGGGGTGGGGGGGGTTAATAACCTACAATCTATAGTAAGGGAATTAGTATTCCATAATCCATAACAAAAAGGGTTAATTAACCCATAATATAAAGTATAATGCGTAACAAACTCATAATCCAAAACAAAATCTACAGACCCATGAATAGTATACACAAAGCATCACCTTCACCTTCTGTCCAAAACCAAACAAAGATAATCATAGATGATATGGATTTAACATCACCTCCAACTTTAATTTTGTCCAAAATATAACAATGAACTCAATAGGTTTAAAGAGATAATTCAACAACAAATAACAAATATGTATATGCATCTATCCCAATCCAAGTTCATCTTATTAGTCCAAACTCTTAAATATAGATCGTTAACAAAACTGGACTCAAGAGTATGGAGCACAGAGCATAATTCTCAACTTTTGTCTCTTCTAATAAACTAGGCAAAGTGAACTATCACACTAAGCCACATAAGGGGTAGCAAACCTTACTTGTGCACGTGATGAATTTCTAGAATCCTGCTCACGACCCATGTCTTGGTTATTCAAACAAATCAAGGGATCTCAAAGTCTTGTGGTCACTCAAGTCATCCCAAAACAAGATGTATGCACAAATATAATGTTTCAAAACCATTTAAAAAACTATACATAAATTTTAACAAATAACATATATCTAAAAAGGGTATCATGAATGCAAATAAGTGCCTTAAATACCACATAATAAATAAGATCATGTAGTATGACATAAAATCATACTAACATACATAAAATCAATACCAGAAAACACAACAAAGTAAGTATATGGATTTGTACTCTCCGTAAACTCACCTCAAAAATTGTAAATGCCAACACACCTTCTTCAAGAATTTGATGTCTTTTAGTCACCCATAATGAATCCAAATAAAGGTTACAAAAGGTCTAAAATACCCCTATATGGATACGCAATAGTTTATAAGCTAAAAATGTTTAATTCTCATCTATATATGGAGTATCGAAGCCATTGGAGGCCAATAAAGTGAGCCGAACACAAGTTAAGATAAGAATAAATTTCTTCATAGATAACCAAACAACCCAGACGGATTTGTGAAGGAATTCCACACGGACCCTATAGCTCCCATTCATGCCCAAAATCAGTAATTTTCATTTTTACCCATGCACTTGCTCTCAATGTTTCCAATTATCACCAAACTTAACCAAATGATATTTATGGCTAAAACAAGTCTTAATATAAAATTTTGAATTAAAATTATTCATATCTTAAAAAGTGATTTAATTAATTCACTTGTGGCATATTTGACAAAAATATTATCTTTGTTTCAATGTTAGATAATATACATAATATTATAAGTCAAAGTAGGCGAAAAATAAAATGAAAATAAATAATAAAGGGTATCATTTAGCATTTGTCTCAATTTATCACATAAGAAATAAATAACAGGATATCAACAATCTTGGAACGTTTCCACATTTATATCTGAGAGCTCATTTTCAGAATTCACTCTCCAACCGATGGTATCTAATTACATAGATAAAACAAAAATAAGAAGGGGTGAACATAGTTTGGTTTTTGCTTAAAGATGAAATCAAAATAAAAAAGTTGGTTTCTATTAAGTGACGGTGTCAAGTTCTTTTAGCCAACTATTTGGGTTTCGGGTTCAATCAAATTGTTTTTTTTTCAGTTAATTTATGCTTATAAAATTGAAATAATTAATAATTTACTAAAATTACAAGAACAAGACAATTCAAGTTCATAAAAAAACAAGTGATTAATATTAAAAATATGAGTGTTACATTAATTATAAATGACAAGAATTATTCGTAATTGGTTTTAATTTATCAAAAGTAACTTAAAATGTTTACACTTTTACAGGTACAATGAACAATGCTTAGGAAAATAAACTACCTAAACAAATAGGAACACATTAGTGTGCATATTAAGCATTACCTTACCTAAACAATAATAACTTATCGGAGGTGTGTTTAGAAATATAAAAAGTTTCTAGGTCGAATATACCTCCTGAGCTTCATGTGCTATTTTAAATTGGTTCATGTTCGATTAAACATATTATCATGCAAATATTGTATATTTATGTTCGTATTGCATTTAAATATAGTCATTATGATTAGAAGGATGCGAGTGTTTTTTTTGTGTTATGTTAAAGCCTGGACATGAGGTGGTGAGGTTTCAATGCAAATATGGAAAAGTTGTACATTGTTGTCTCGTATAGTGGTTGTGGGGTTATCATGGGACGAAGAAAATCTCATGGGGTTGCCATGTGTGGAAGCTAATTGTCTTTATCGGGCATTGATTGTTAATTTGTTATACATAAGAACATAACAAGTAGATAACGTTAGGTATGGAATAAAATGAAGGAAAATGGCTATACTTGTTGGATAAGACAACTACTATATATAGTTGATTGGTAATTAATAATATTTTGACTGGTGAAATGTTTATTAAAGCAACACCTCTCGGACATAAATTGATAAGATTTATCCAATTTGTAAATTTATAAGAAAACTAAGTGTGAGACTCATGTATTACATGGGTTCATTTAAAAGAAAAAGTTAAATATAAAGATCAAAATATTTAAAAACTTTGAATTTATAAGAAAATAAGACAAATAATTGAATTATTATAATTGAAATGTTTTTTATCTTTTAAATTTAAACAAATAATTTAAATAAATAAACAAACTAAACTAATGAACTTTAATTTGGAGATTTTGAAATTAAAATGTAAGTTGATTAATGAAATTGATATCCATTTATTATTACATTTATTGTAATTATTGCATTAAAATATTATCTGAAATTTAATAAAATAAAAAAAACTAATAAAATGACATGTGGAAAAAAATTAATTCAAAATAACCATAAAATTACATTTGGCAAATTGAATGAGAGTGTGACATGTGGCAAAAAAACATTCATTTATTAGAGTAAGACTAGGTGGGAGACCGTATTACATGGGTTCATTTAAAAGAAAAATTAAATATAAAATAAAATTCAAAATATTTGAGAAGTTTGAATTTATAAGAAAAGTAAGAAAAATATTGAATTATAAAAATTAGAGTGTTTTTTTTTTCTCTTTTCAATTTAAACAAATAATTTAGATAAATAAATAAAGGAAATTAATGAAACTTTAATTTAGTAATTTGAAATTAGAAGGAAAGTTCATTAATGAAATTGATATGCATTTATTATTAGATTTAAATATTATATAGAATTTAACAAAAATAGAAAAATCATAAAATACATGTGGAAAAAAATTAAATTCAAAATAATCATAAAATCACATGTGACAAATTGAATGAGAATATGACAAGTGGTAAAAAAAAACTTTTATTTATTAGAGAGGATTTTAAAAATTTTTATCAACTATAAAAACTAGAGGAAGAACATGACTACACTTACTAATTATTTATTGGTCTCGTCATTGCCTGTTAATAT